CAGAGAAGCTGTGGCTGCCCCTGGATCCCTGGAAGTGTCCAAGGCCAGGTTGGACAGGGCTTGGAGCAACCTGGGCTGGTGGAAGGTGTCCCTGCCCATGGCAGGGGTGGAACATCAGGAGATGATCTTTAAGGTCCCTTCCCACCCAAACCATTCCATGATTCTGTGATTCCAACACTTGCCTGTCCTGCCACACAACTCCAGGAAATTCTCTGTGAAGGGAGAAATGGGGACCTTGGATCTGACTCTCTGCCTATGACAGTTCCCTGCTCAGAGCAAAGCTGTGTTTCCATATTAAATTAAAGCCTTCAGCCCCCATTTTTATACTTCTCACGTTGTTCTCAGCACTTTCATCACCCTTTTTATTCACAGTAAATTTCTTCTGCTTGTCAAATTGGTCATGTATGTGTGGCTGCAGTGAAACCTAAGTGAGACCCTTGGAATAAGACAAAAAGTGATTTTTATTATGGGACAAAGGATTATGGGGCAATAAATTGTCCAATATTTTTTTATCCAGGTTATTTTTCTGACCTTTTCATTCTGTCCCTTCCCTGGCAAGAATCAGCTCTAGGTCTGGCAACGCTTTTTTCACTTATTTTCTCTGACAATTGTCCTGCACGTAAGAAAAATGGGCAGGGACACCTTCCACTGTCCCAGGTTGCCCCAAGCCCCATCCAACCTGGCCTTGGACACTCCCAGGGTGGAACTGTTCTTCTTACACTTTGTCTTTCCAGTGATCCCACTCCTTCCCTGCTCCAGGGCTGACACTGGCTGAGCAGCAGACTGGCAATAAATAAAACCCCCAAAGCCCCTGGGTTTCACCAGCGCCTCAAATCTGCCACAAAACTCATTTATCCCCGATATTTCCCATTTCCCAGGTGCCACTGTCCTCCCACTCGGAGCACTGAGCGAGTCCCCTCGGGAAGCAACTCGTGCCACAGGCTTCACGTGCCTGAAATCCCACAAAACCCACCACGTGGGACGGTCCCGCTCCAGCCTTTGCCCTTTGCTTTGGCAAACACCCACCTGTGCCCGGCTCTGCCAACGCGCCCCGGGGGCAGCGCTCCGGGTGTCCCCAGGACGAACCACCTGTCCCCAGGATGAGTTACCTGGATCTCCTCAGCTTTCCTAAACGTGATGATGCCGCCAGGTAACTCCTGCAAAAGGAATTGATGCCACTTTCTCACCTTTCGAAAACGTGACTCTGTCGTCAGGTAACTTCTACGGCAGAAGCTGCTCAATAAAGAAAAGAAAAGCGAGTTTCAAGCATCGCGTAAAATTCCGTCCAGAAATGAATATGCATTAGGCAGGCGGGGAATATACATGAGACAGGCGGGGTCATGTAAATTTGGCTGTTTTAAAAGATGGAACTTTTTAGCCCTTACTGTGCTTGCTTTGTGAAAGCTCCCCCGCGCAGGATAAACAGCGTCTGCTTTTTAAATGTGTCTGCGTTTAGAGAGCTCCCAAAATCGGCCCCGCTCCCGGCCGGGTGGGCACCGG